CTCTGGGGCGCGTCGGGGGGCATCAACTTGGTGGCTGGTGGAGAACCCCCTTGGCCAACTGAAGTGATAGAAAATGATGACATTTAGACAACCCAACCTGTCTCTCCTCAGTGTGTTTAGGGCAGCCGATAGAGGTCTGCATCTGACCCAATGGAGCCATGTGCCACAGGGGACCTCAGTCTGTCTTTCTCTTCTCCATCTATTGCATTTCCTACATCTCCACTAAGTGTAACTGAAGGTCTCCCATGGACATCCCTACATTGCCTAAGCTGTTCCAGGGCAGTGGCTGAACTTAATGGTCCAATTCAGGCCTGTCGTCCTACCTCAGATGCCAAAGCTGCCCAGCACAACCAGAGCGTACAGCTGGGTGGGCGGTACAGGACCTACAGGACAGCTATCCCCATCCCAAGCTGGTCCATAACAGACAGCCCAGGGCATCTCAGATAGATTTGGTGTGCATGAGCAGGTGACTGAATGCCACCAGTGAGACAAGATCTGTCCCATGTCTATCCTGGAAATGCAGGCAGTGCATGGACATGCAGCACACCACAGCAGGGTCTCCACTCATATGCCAACACTTTCAAATGCTGCTGATTCTTCTTACCCCCAGCCTTTAGTCACCTCCTTGATGATATAATCAAGGGACAGGTGAATGATTTTCACAGTCTGCCCGGATCACAGAATGTCCATAGCCAAGGACTTTCTCAGCAGCACCTTGTCCTTCCTGGAGATCAGCTTGACCTCCATCACAGTTTGAGCTTGGCACTTGCACCACAGCCTAGGTGCTGCAGCTCCAATGTACATCAGTGCCCTCAGCCTGGGGCACAGAGAGGAGGATCTGGAGTCCTGTGTGCTGTCTCAGAGTTAGAAAGCTTGTGTTTAGGGCAGCCAATAGAGGTATGCAAGGTTAGAAAGCTTGAGGTGCTGTGATGGTTGGAGACAGGCTCTTCAGAAGAGACAGATGGGGAAGATCAGGAGGGGCATGCCCTCAGTGTGTGGGAACTACCTGGACATATGGAGGTCCTCTATGGGGTGGGAATCAGATTGGGTAAGCCTTTTTGGGTGAGGGTCAGAGGACAGGTGTTGTGGTTAAACCCCAGCTGGCATCTAAGCACCATGCAGCCATATGATCACTCTCCCCACACCCCCACACCCTGCTAAGATAGTGAAGAGAATCTGAAAAAAAAAAAACCAAACCAAACCATCAGTTGAGATACAGACATTTGGATAAAGTAGCAGAGGAAAAACAAAGAAGAAAAAGGAATGTACAAAACAAGTTTTGCTCAGTGCAATTGCTGACCACCTGCTGATGATGCCCAGCCCATCCCCGAGCAGTGATTACTGTTGCCTGGCCAACTCCCCCCAGTTTCTATACTGGCATGACACCATATGGTCTGTAATAGCCCTTGGGCCAGTTGGGGTCAGCTGTCCTGGCTTTTCCCCCTCCCATCTTCTTGTGCCCCTGGCAGAGCAGGGGAAGCTGAAAAGTCCTTGACTTAGTATAAACACTGCTTACCAAAACTTAAAACATCACTGTGTTGTCAACATTCCTCTCACACTAAATCCAAAACACAGCACCATAGCACCTACTAGGAAGAAAATTAACTCTATCTCAGCCAAAACCAGGACAGTATCCACCCCTTATTCTGTACCATCCATGTCATGCCCAGGTGCTACACTTTCAAACCCATTCCAATCAATCACCACCACATTCCCTGTCCTTTGATGTATCCTTTGATATCATTCCCTCAGTCTGTGGCCCATCA